TACACTTTACAAGGCAGACATCATAACTTACCTATTAAGAGAATCATAATCGTTATGTTCCATTATGTAAGCCCATAGTATTTGCATAATACCTAGTACTAAGAAGCCAGTTTACCTGTACGTTATGAGTACGACTGTACCTATGTAAATATCCATTCATCGTTTGTACATAAACTAATCGTTTGCCAATACTAAGTTCAGTATTTTTCGTCTTTCCATACAAGCTAACATGTTTTGGAAATATTCAATTTTTATTTGTGTGTTATTGGTTTTGGTCGTAAGTAATTTTATTTATTTAAAAATAGTGCTGAAAGTAATTGTAATATATACAAAAACAACAGTAGAGCTCTGAAAGACAAAGCGAAATGATAAAAGATACATGTATCGAAATGTAGGACTAGGTGATGTCTTCTGCGTGATGATGATATTTCTCATTTTGTGGAATAATGACTTAAAAGACCGTATAAAGAATTTAAGACATAAATATAGAAGCGTTATGGAATTTATCGGAATATTTTTTTTTAGTAAATATGACTTTCGGAATGCCGCGCCTTATGAGTCAAAATGTTTAAATCCCTATTACATGGGACTCAGTAAGCAGTGAATGTTACATTATGGCTATATTATAACTTTTGTGAGACATACTAAATTAATTATTATGTTTTCGGCTTATAAGAAACTCGACTAGTTCAGAGTAGCAGCGCGACAGTCGCCGCGTCGCGGGTCTCGGATTGCTGCGTATGAATATGAGCCTACAGCGCTTGAAACTAGTCGCGGAGAACCTAACGGGTAACCGGGGCTCCGGCGGGACGTGCAGGAGAAGGAACGGGGTGGTTTTTAGTCAGTAAGAGTCTGACACTCCCTCCCGCCTCACCCAGGTGGGAGCAGTCATTCGATGATTTTCCCCCCTTAAAAAAAAAAGCGCTTGAAACTAGTCGAGTTCCTCGTCAAACAGTTACGTGAGTAAGCCGAAAACATAATAATTAATTTGGATGTTACATAGTTTAAAAGATTATTGCTCTAACCTTCTCCGTGTGAGAAGAGGCTTTGCTCAGCAGTGGGCATTTATAGGCTGTTGATGATGATAGTTTAAAAGTGCTGCCTGTTAAAAGGTGTGATGTTGATGCTTGTTATGTCCACAGAATGGAGATCCAATCACAGTCAGTCCTTCGACCTCTACTACTCCTTCGACACTAAACTTTGATAGTTTAAAGAAAAATATGGCGGAACTTAGGGAATGCATTGATAACAGTTTTGCGAGTGCCGCTGGAGATGTCAGTGAAAATCATTTGCAACCACTGTTTAGTGTTATTGGAGATCAAATAAATCGATTTTCTAGAGCGGTAAGTGTTTTACAAAAATAAGGCTGTAATGCCTCGAGTTTAAAGTAGGTAAATAATAGGTTATTTGTCATTGTTCATGAACAGTGATTTTTTTAAGTTAACTATCACATATACAATTGTACATAAACATATTATTTACCGAATAAAACGGGGCGAATAGACTTCGAGAGGTCAATAGATACGGGAATAGGGTACTATGTTTAATCATATAATAAATCAAGTAAAAACGCGGGTTACTCACGTGAATATACTGAGAAAAGCTCTACTAGTTTCGAACCACAGAGGGGTTCTTCCTCATGAGCAGCGTGCGCGATCGCGGCGACGTCGCGCAGCTCACTTGCGTTTTTACTTGATTTAGTATGTATCACGATAGTTATTATAAAAATCATATAATAATTTCTTAATATACATTTATCCCTTTTCCGTCTCTATTCACCCTTCGAATTCTATGTGAAGTCAACGCTTATTAATTTCTGGTTTTTATTATAGTAATTCCCTGGTACCAAGCACACATTAATTGCACACATAAATAAATAAATAAATGACACAATCACTACTTATTTGTTATTTTTTTAATCTTGAGTATAAGTTGAAATAAATCTAAATTTTATCCCAAATTCTCGATGGTTAAAACACCGAGTTTGTTTTATATCTAATAAATGAAATAATGTTGACCAACACTATTTTTTAAAATGATATTAATCTAATTATTTTCTTTTACAGTATGATGAACTAACAGGCGTTAAAAAAGTATGAATACGATAATACACTACACGTATACATATGTATGACGACGTACCATCAATAAACCATGATTGTGACTTGTTTTATAAAATGCGTTTTATTGTTGTCTATTTAAAGTCTTAAGTTAAGTGCTAAAATAACATAATACCACCCGAGTATCATCCCTTAATTCAAGGAACCCATGAAAGAGTTAGGTAAAAGCATGTCTCTTTGCTTGTTCACGGAATAAACACTGCGTTTATTATTTTTACATTACTTAAACAACTATACTGCTGCCTCGTTGGCCGAGTGGTCGCGAATGCGACTGCTTGTCAAGAGGTCTCAGGTTCGATTCCTGGGTCGGGCTAAGTATTACTGGGTTTTTAGAAATCTCAGTAGTAGCACGGACTCTGGAAATGTGCCCGGTATATGGCAATAGGCTCACCCCCTATTACATGGGACTCATAACATAAGTAGTGAAAAGTGGGTGTTACATTATACAGTGGCATTAAGTGCCGTAATGTGCACCTCTGCCTACCCCTTCGGGGGTAAAAGGCGTGATGTTATGTTATCTGTTAAACAACTATATTATGTTTGTTCTGGCTGATGTCTGAAATGGTTGGACCGATTTTGAGAGGACTCTTATTGGTAGGTAGCTGATGTACTAAGGAGTAAATAAGCTAACTTTATCTACACGGACGACATCTTCTCCGTGTAAGAAAAAGCCTTTGGCCACTTATAGGCTGTTAGTGTTGTTGTAGGCTTTTTTTAGTAGGGAACTTGGGCTGCGACGAGCTTTTACCATTAATTGAGCCATAAGCTAGTGTCCAATATAAATGCAAGCATGTATTAATGACCTTCAATACATAAATTATTATGTTTTCGGCTTACTCACGTAATAATTTGACGAGGAACTCGACTAGTTTCAAGCCATGCTAGCGTAGCAGCGCGACAGTCGCCGCGTCGCGGATCGCGAAATGCTGCTCATGAATATGAGCCTCTAGCAAGTCAAATTATTACGTGAGTAAGCCGAAAACATAATAATTTATTTAGTATGTCTCACGAAAGTTACAATACAAAAAAGACCTCAATCCATTTCTCACTTCAAGAATATAGACGTCATCATTCTTCACATTAGGTTTTATACACCTCACATCTTACACATTTTATGATCCTCCCATATCTATATATATAAAAGAAAGTCGTGTTAGTTACACTATTTATAACTCAAGAACGCCTCAATCGATTTAGATGAAAATTGGCAGGAAGGTAGCTTAGAACCAGGAGACGGACATAGGATCCTTTTTATAGAATACTTTTTTTTACTTTTTATCGAAAATCACGAACGGGAACGGGGGGAAAATGGGATTGCGCGTACGAAGTCGCGGGCTGGAGCTAGTATAAAAATAAAGTCGTATCACACAAGCGTGAACACGATTGTGTGTAAATACACAATACATAATTACAAAAAAATACATTTATTTTGTAATATGTTATAATGTTTGTATGATTATAATGAACCATCTGCATAGACCAGACACTATGTGTTGTAATTTTCTACAGTACTATGTTTAAACCATAATGATAATAATATTGTTGAGTCTGATTATAATGTATCTTGTAGGATGTTAGGAATTATCCAGTGTGTCAGTCTTTTAACATAGCTTCACTTTTAATTTTTTTTTTTGTTGACTTCCATAAGTGTTAAAGTAAAAATAATATTACGGGTATTTAATATCAACCAAGACCAATCTCTACGTAGCATCTACACTAGACCACCGAGTCAGTTTTAATTAATTAGTTATTTACCAATTAACCTATGTAATGGAATCTTATCTTCAATAATATTTCCACTATTATAATAATTGAACTTTGTGCCTATGCAAGTATGCATCAACACCCGCAGTGATAAACAGCTGACGGATGTTATGTTGTTGCTATCTAATGCACCTCGAACATACAAGATGGAATTGCTGATATTGGTTCTATGTATGTATGTATGTCTAATTACACAAAACATTGTATAGATGTCTAATTACACAAAACATTGTATAGATGTATGTTCTTACAGTATGTTTACGTTACTTTATTTAAAATAATATAATATAATAACATAACATAACATAACATAACATAACATAACATAACATCACGCCTCTTATCTCCGAAGGGGTAGGTGCACATTATGCTACTGTATAATGTAACACCCACTTTTCACTATTTATGTTATGAGTCCCATGTAATAGGGGGTGAGCTTCTTGCCCTACACCGGGCACAATTCAAGGCTCCGTGTTACTACTGAGAATAAAAATACCCCTTATTTACAAATTATAGCATGAACCCAAAATAATAGAAGATGAGGCTAATTGACACAATTGGCATAATACGAGACTCCGTATGGAGAAATTTTCGAATAAAAGTACGTTTGCCATCTTATAGCTCAAATCAAAAATCAAATCAAATTATTCATTAAGTACAGATTCACCGTATTTCTACATGCTTGACATTATTCTTTATACAGACGAGCATGCATATAAGTACTGAAGATGTAGCTACTGCAGTTCAATTATCTCATTCATCTGCTACGGAAACAAAGCATTAAAATGATTCAAACGACCGGGAACCGACTTAATCCAATATCCCGTATGGTATTTGCATCACAACTTTGATGTACCGAACTGCAAAAAATGAAGGAAATTGGTTCATTGGAGACCTTATAAGGATCGACGTATAATGATAACAAAGCAGACTCCGTTTTTGTTGCCATCTCTGTTTTACTGGCAGGTGTGATGTCATAGGGACAGTATTTTTTTTTAAGTAGGGAAAATCATCGAATGACTGCTCCCGCCTGGGTGAGGCGGAAGGGAGTGTCAGACTCTTACTGACTAAAAACCACCCCGTTCCTTCTCCTGCACGTCGAGCCGGAGCCCCGGTTACCCGTTAGGTTCGCCGCCACACAGGATAGGGACAGTATAGCATTTGACGAAAGTTAGGCTGCAGGTCCTCATAAATTAGGACTATCTAAACTGCGATACCAACCCGCCTGTCACGCGTGGACACTGGATATTATTGTAAGAACCTGCTATCTCTATTCCATGATATTTCGGTCCCTTCGAATAATGTGTGCCATTTGTATCAACTTTATGGCTAACCACTAGACTACCGAAGACGTACGAATGTAAAAAAACTTTTAAAGTTCATACACATTAACACAAAATGTAAGAGATGATGTGATAGAAAAAGTCTCTGGGCTTTTTATTCATCAAGTTTAATTACCTATCTATATATATATTATCACTAGTTCATCGATTAATTTCTTGGTCAGACTATTATTTTATCAGTCCATCCCAACGGGCAAGCAGACAGATCAACGATCAATTAAAACATGTGTGTAGCACGTTGCTTGTTGATAACATCAAAAATGCAAGCGTAGCTTATAATCTGACTAGCTTATGCCTGCGGTATACTCGCATCAAAATGATTATTATAAATTAAGTTAAACTGTCAAACACCAAGCGGTCACCGGTGACCGCAACCTATTGTTCTTTAATTGTGTCTATAAATACGGTACTCGACGAGTTAATATAGTATACTTAGGCTTTTTTTGCTAACCCGTACTGAGCAAGCGTGATGATTAATGCTCAAATCATCTCCGTGTGAGAAGAGGCCTTTGGTCACCTATAGGCTTTTGTTGTAGGCTTTTTTCTAGTAGGAAACTTAGGCTGCGACTACATTTTGCCATTAATAGAGCCATAAGCTTTGTTAATGCTAACAGTAAAATCAAGTTTTATATCCATCATCATAATATGTACAGATCGATCTATTTCAGTTTAAAAAAGTCATATTATTTGGTTCAGTACTTTAGGCATGTTAGTATAACAAACAAACTCCCTTTAACATCAATAAATTATTATATATAGGATTAGTGATTCACCATTGACCTCAGGTCACTGCAGATTGTTCTTTGATCATCAGGAAGATATAGGAGTCTCGCATAGAAGAGATCACAGTTTGCATCCTACTGTTGCATTGTGAAGTTGTAATTATCCTCATCAATATGAACAAGCTGTTTATTGTCCTTTTGGCTGTGTGCCTTGTTAGTGTAAGTATTTTTTTTATATTAAAAACTCTCACAATATTATATTCTTATTTTGCTAGTAAATTTATTAGATTGATCTTAATAACTTTAAAACTTTAAGACAAATTTTTGGGTATACCACATTTATATCGTAATTTGAATCGTAGTACAGATCGCCTAGCTGGTATGCAAGTAAGAAACCAGAGATTGTTTTAGTAAAAAAATAAGTTCTTATTGTATTAAATTGGGTATTTTTAACGAAGCTAAATCTGTCATCGTTTCTGTACCCAACGAATGGTTATTGTCCACTATGTCTGTGCTGAACATATCTTTATTTTGTAATATGCATACCAAATAAGTGTGGGAGAGCCATGCTTCGGCACGAATGGGCCGGTTCAACCGGAGAGATACCACGGCGTCACAGTAAACCGACGTGAAATAGCACTTGCGTTGTGTTTCGTAGTGTGAGTGGGGTTACCGGGGCCCAAAAATCCCCCTCCCCAATTTCTCCACTCTCCGAATCCCTAAAAGTCCTAAAAAAAGGCCAGTAACGCACTTGTAACACCTGAAGTGGTTTGGTGTCTATGGACGGCGCCGATTGCTTACCATCAGATGATCCGTCTGCTCGTTTACTGACTTATTCCATAAAAAATAAAAAAAAAGCGGCTGACTGTACTATCTAATTACGAAGATTTCTAAGCATCCATAGATCTTAATATAAGGTCGTTGTATTCTTTCATATTATTCCTTTTCATTGTGAACAAATTTAATGTGGTTTAATCCTCACTATCGTCATTTCTTTGCAATAAAAGATCCACCATCTTCTTTTTTGTAACAGACACATGCCTTTGTAAAACGCGATGCGCCAGCAGGAGAGAACCAATTAGAGAAGATACAGAAGCAGTTGCAGGAGTTCTCCAAGAACATTAATAACCAAATGGCCAGTACTTTCGACCCTGAGACCATGAAGAGGAATTTCAACCAGTTTGCTGAAAGCATCAACAAAGCTGTAAGGTTCATTTTTGTTTGCCTTGTTTTCTAATAGTCTGTTATATTTAATACTATAAAATGTAGATCCCAGAATGTGAGGGTCTATCACTTGTTGTTGGGTTTTGATCGTAAAAGAGAAATGTTAGATTACATTTGTCTTGTTGTAAAGGGAAGAACGATAGAAGATGTCAACAGTAAAAACATGTCAGTTTTTTTATAAATCTGAAAGTATCTGTTATTAGAATTAGGTCTATACAAGTTACAGGGTCCAATGGAGTTAGGTGTAGGGTAAGCAATTCTATTTCCACTGTGAAGTCAAATGCTAGTCTAAAATAATTTGTAACTAATGTTTTAATATTCCAGATGAGTGACATGAACAACAAGCCTCCGGCTGCATAGGAGACGACTGATTTGTGTAATGCAATGTAGACCTTAACCTAACTATAGTAGATACAAAATCTTTTGCCAGTTATTGTGAAGGCTGTGTGCCTAGAACTAGGATGCTGAGTTTGGAATAAAATATATTTTTTGTAAACATGTATTGTTTGTTTGGTTTCATTGAATTTTATGAACAGTTTCTTTTTTTACGGAATTCTAAAAACGATCTGTGATTTTTGGTCAAATGAATAGAAGCATGATAGCGGAACGATATCCTGAACGATATCGATGTTGATACCTAGTTAAGCAAAAATAATATGTTTAATTATTTTTCTAGAACAAACGCTAAAATAATACTAAAAGGTAAAAAATAATAATATTAAGTTGAAACTTAGTCATATTTTGATCATATCAAACTTTTGTATGATGCAATTACATTCATTCTTGCTGTATGACTAGTGTTAATGACATGATTAAAAAAGATGTAACAATACATCACATTTCGCGTCCCTCAACTTTTATCACAAATTTTCGCCATTTATACGTATTTTTCCAATTAAAATAATACCTGATATCTATATATTGACATTTTTTAAGGGGTAAAATTATCGAATGATTGCTCTCGCCTGGGTGAAGCGGGAGGGAGTGTCAGACTCTTACTGACTAAAAACCACCCCAATCCTTCTCCTGCACGTCGAACCGGAGCCCCGGTTACCCGTTAGGTTCTCCGCGATTCCGAATCGGTATCTATATTTTGACTAAGTCTGCACGGTTGGCGCGGTGACTGAGCCTGTCGTGCAACGTGTCGCTGGTTCGATTCCCGCACGGAACAACTCTTTGAGTGATCCACAGGTTGTTGTTCCGGGTCTGGGTGTGACGTGTATATGAACTTGTATGTTTATAAAAGAACTCACGATACAGGACAAAATCCTAATGTGGGGCAAAATAAACAACATTTCATTGTCATTTACCAAATATTTACAGACATTAATTCTTAAGGAGTTGTTTACAACTTAAAACTAATAACAATTAACGTCTAATCATCCACCCTTACTAATATGTTTGCTTAGAAATTACATTCGACCGTCCCAATAACTTATAAATTTCGTTGGAAATTAGAGGTCATTGAGATAAGCAGTTCAAACATAATTTGGACGAACTTCTAAATATATAGGATTGCCGGTATTGTGAGCAGCAGTATCAACTGTGTTGTGAAGTTGTGAAGACGTCAATCAAAATGAACAAGCTCCTAATCGTCCTTTTGGCCGTGTGCCTCGTCAGCGTAAGTAATCACTATTATTTCTTCTACATGTCCAATTCGAGACCTACAGTTAGAAAATGTAATATTCAAACCTTCAAGGAAAGAGCGTATTCCATTTTAAAAGGCCGGCAACGCTCCTGTGATTCCTCTGGTGTTGCGGGTGTCCATGGATGGCGCTGATCGCTTACCATCACGTGATCCGTCTGCTCGTTGCCTCCTATTCTATAAAATAATCTATTCTCATAAGAAGTGGTTTATGTGATGTAAGTAGGTTTATGAAAAAAAAATAGGATTTTTCTTTCTTAATCAAGTGTTGACCAGATATGAATGTCAGACCAAATTGTATGCTATTGTCAAAGATTTGTGAAGAATTTCTTTACTGTTCAGTGATGTAAAATTTTCCTATTAACATTCACTTTACTAAAAATCACAGTAAAGACATTGGCCTAACAATGGCTGAAGATCATAAAATATTTTTTTAATGTCTTTATTTATTTTCAATGTCATATGACAAGAAAAGGATTTAATAGAATATTCTATAGATATATTAAGTATATAAGTATAAGTGAAATATTTTTTGACACAGGTTCACGCTTTCGTGAAACGCGATGCTCCTGCGGCAGCCCCATCATCACCATCAGCAGATATTCAACAACAGTTCGAGAAGATTGCCGCTAGTGCAAAGAGTTTTGGTGACAATGTATCGAAATCGGTGGCCGAGGCTCTGGACCCCGAAAAGTTAAAACAGCAGTTCAACGAAATCGTCAATGTTGCATCCAAAGCGGTAAGAATTTTACATAATTTTTAGGCGGCTTCAAAAAAAGGAGATGCTCATTTTGATCTGTATGTATGTATTTTTGAACGCGATTATCTCGCCATTGCCTGAACCGATTTAGATGCGGTTTGCCATTAGGTAACCCGATTTTTGTAACCCGTTTTCAGAAAAATGTTTGTTACATTTATTGTAGTAAACAGATCTGCCTCGTTGGCCGAGTGGGCGCAAGTGCAACTGCTGGTCAAGAGGTCTCGGGTTCGATTCCCGGGTCGGGCAAAGTATTACTGGATTTTTAAAAATCTCAGTAGTAGCACAGAGTCTGGAAATGTGCCCGGTATATGGCAATAGGCTCACCCCTATTACATGGGACTTATAACATAATTAGTGAAAAGTGGGTGTTACATTGTACAGTGGTATTTAATGCCGTAATGTGCACCTCTGCCTACCCCTTCCAGGATAAAAGGCGTGATGTTATGTTTATGTAGTAGACGGTTTTAGTATATTAATTAATTGACTTCAAAAAACAGAAAGGGTTGAAGTCGGTTTTTTTAAACGTACTTTACAAAACCAGTATAAATTCAACGTTGTATGTGCCGAAAGATCATACAAAGCGATACCTTGATATACTGGTTTTGTAGGTATAGCTTGACCTGCAGTTGTATTAAATTTAAATAAGAACATTCATTAATGTTAAAAGAGTAATGATGGAAACTTCACTTACAATTCAATCTGACGTTTTAAAAGTACCTAATCAAGGATTAAGTGAAGTAAATGTCTGACTTTGACTTTGAATACAGATTTAAACACAATAAGCAAGTTTTTGGTAATGTGATTTTATTAACTAAAAATCGCGGGTTACTCACGTGAATATACTGAGAAAAGCTCTACTAGTTTCGAACCGCAGAGGGGTTCTCCCTCATGAGCAGCGTGCGACATCGCTTTTCTCAGTATATTCACGTGAGTAACTCGCGATTTTTAGTTAATTTAGTATGTCTCGCGATAGTTATTATAAAAACATGTGATTTTATATTCTATTTCTTTTTACAGATTGCCGACTTGAAGCCCAAAGCTGATGCTGCCAAACCCGCTGCCTAATTGAAAGACTGATTATGTTTTACAATAGCATTAATAATATACTTATGTATATCCATGTATAAAATAAATTAATCAATCACAGATCCACGTTTCCCAACCTGTATGTTACAAGTTATGTCTCACTAACATTATAAAGTTTATTTTAAAAAAATACCTTTTTTTATTTCTACATTTGTACAAGGCTGCGAATCATAAGGTCGTGAGATTCCTGATCACACGTGATTGACACACACACACACACACACATAATTAATTGTAAATGGATATATCCAATTAAAATAAGGTCAATGACCAGCACGTCAAGCAATTCTAATCTGTTAAATTTTTGGATAGATTTTTAGATTATGATAGACAGGTTTTATATTCGATTTTTGACTTAATAACAAAATAATAAAGTTGAAAATCTAATAAAGAAAGGCGAAAATTGACTAGCTGGTCACTGTACTTTTAGATACAAATAAATATGTTCTGCTATGAAAATCCATACTGCTAATAAGAAACGTAACGGTAAAATGTCTGAGGAGTTGAACTGATAACGTAATACGAGTACTTAATACGGACAGATACGGATACGGATAGACTCCTGATGATGATCATCAGGAGTCTATCTAGGCTAGCTTGAGGATAACTATCAGTCTTTGTTTAAGTACAAATATTCAGCCAATTCTAGTAAATATACTTCCAGTCATTCAACCCATACGTAAGTGAGAACACGCCATAAAGATTAAAAAAAAAACCTAACTATGATCCGCATACTAAAAAGAGGTTATTAATTATGGAATTCCAAGTACTGGTGTATGCTTGCTTACCAGACAACGCTAGTGTGAACCTCTCGTTCCTGTCCAATAGGGAATCAGCTAATGCCACGCCATTGGCTGAGCAATATTTGACAAGCTTTAGTGATTAGACAAAAAAGGGGGTTTCTACATTAGCAGCTGTTTGGTGGGGGAAAAAACGTTAGCTCCCATTAAGACACGAACCTTCTATTACACAAGATATGATCGTATCGCCCTTTATTTATAAGCTTATGACGTATACTCCTTTGGAGATTAAACAGCATGAGGTAATAGTTTGTATAGGTTATATCCTTATATAGGTTGTCCCAAAAGTCGACGATTAATTGTCACCTGGTGATCGTCAAGGTACCAACAGTTATCACAAAAAGATAAAAACATTCAAGTCGTATAGTTTGTAAAATACAATGACTTACGTGTATCCACGGAAAAGTACACTCTGTGCACGTCTTTTGACTCTTTTTGCCACAATTTTGTATTTTGATTGTCGACTTCAGTGATAACCAGTATATACATATATGGTTTAGGTTGCTGTATGATGACGGTAGGTAGAATATATTCGTCGCCTTCTCTACTATTTCCACGTGGGTTTTGAGAGAAGAATAACAGACGACACCTTTAACAGAGATCAGGCAGCGGCACTTTCTATAATAAACCTGAAACCGAGCGATTATGGCTCCGCTCTTATGTAGAGAAGTTTCATACTGCGGCCGAACACTGTCACCGACTGTTAATGATAATTGATGTATGGCCTTAACTTACTTCTATCTAAAACTGACTGCATGGTTGGCGCGGTGGTTAGGTAACTGGCTGCCTCGCAGTGTCGCGGGTTCGATTTCCGCACGGAACAACTCTTTGTGTGATCCACAGATTGTCGTTCCGGATCTGGGTGTCATGTGTATGTGAACTTGTATGTTTGTATTATTGTTTCTCCTGTGTCACAACAGTGTGTGGGGCAACGATATAAAAAAAACATAAAAGTACCAAATGTTTGGCAGAGTTAACTGAAACCACTCAACCATGGAAGCAGAATGAATGTATCAAAATTAAAATTGTTACGAGTCAAATAATCGCATCATTATCTCCAATTCAGTGGCAAGGCCAACAGCAAATTATTTTGTTCAATGCAATAACGACGTGGTGTTGATTATAAAATCAGATCACATAATTTTGGCGTATATTGGCTCTTATTTTCCCTTGAAAAATGTCACGTGCAAACAAAACTTATACGGTGTCAATTTAGTGTCATGAATAATCTAAATTCTGTCTACACTTAATTATAATACTTTTAAAACCTGATAATGATTTGTCTCACGTCTAAATTGTACCCAGTGTTTACCAACCTAATCAACAATACAGATAGATAAAGAGAGAAAAGAATTCAAAAGTCTCAATATGAATAAGTTTCAACTAACCGGAGATTCGTTTTATGAAGATGCACAACGACAACACCAGCTGCAAAAACGACCAGATACAATACTGTCTTGGTATCTCTTATTACAAAATAATGTAAACATCACACCTATAAAACTATTAAATGCATCACGTATTTAATATTAGTTAATTATTTGGTTACAATAAGAGTTCTATGCATTTAACTTATTGCTATACACAGGAAACCTAAGTGTGGGAGCGCCATGCTCGACCGGAGTGTTACGACGGTGTCACAGAAAACCGACGTGAAACAACAGTTGTGTTTTGTCGTGTGAATAAGGTTAACTACTGGAGGCTAAATTAACATCATGCCCAATCTCCCCAATGCCCAAATCATCAACACCACTCAAATTACTAACCCCTAAAATACTGGGAACGCACTTGTAACGCCTCTGGTGTTTGGGTTTTTCATGGGCGGTGACGATTGCTAAACATCAGGTGATCTATCCGCTCGTTTACCGGCTTATCCCATAAAAAGAAAAGCTAAGCCGAAAATACATCCTCCAATATTTTAACCAACTTCTGTCTCAGGATGCGCTCAATTAAAAAGATACCTACATATGTAAAAGAATAAAAGTAAGCAAAACATAACTCTTGCAAGAGATCAGCAAAATTGTCCTACAGGATACAACTGATTGGCTCCAAAGTCTCCCTCAATTACTGTTTGTTACCAACTCATTTATTAATTAGCAATGACAAACGACCCGGGGTCATTTCGATAATGGTTTCAAAACATCGGCTTCTCTGCACATCAAGATAAAGGGAACTTCAGCGGCATACAGTGCAGTTTGCATTCTGATTTTGACTTGCAACAACGTCCCATTTCTTACATTTTCAAAATGAACAAGCTCTTCATTGTTTTTCTGGCTGTGTGCCTTGTCAGCGTAAGTTGTTTTTTCTTTGATTTCCTTTATGCTTGGTGTCTCTCATCTTTGCAATTTGGATTTGTATGCTTTTTTGTAATGTAGAACTTGTAACACAGACTCTTCGTATAGACCTTTTATCTCTTTTTGGAACATGGCCACGATATGGCACAAATAAAATGATAATATGAATTTGAGTTCTAAGTGTTTTTTGGGTTTATATTTCTTGCTTGTAACATACTGGTTGCATGTATACTGTAGCATAAGTTTTACGTAATATAAAAATGAAAGCACGAGATTAACTCCACTTGTTAACCGCACATCGCGATAATGTTCTAAAATATTTTTTTTTTTTTGGAAAAATAGTTTTACGAAAGTACTCCTTATTCCTTCCACCATAAGCATTATAATTGTAACTATAAATACATATTTTTCTCTACACAGGTTCATGCTTTCGTGAAACGTGATGCCCCTGCTGCTAACAACAACTACATGGAAACACTACAGAAGCAAATGGAAGAATTCGCAAAGACTGTTAACAACCAAATGTCACAAGCCTTCGACCCTGACACCATCAAGAAGAACTTCAATGAATTAGTGGACAACGCTACTAAGACGGTAAGTGATAGTTTAATAATATCTTATTTAAAAAGGAGGTATTGTGAAGAAGGAAGGAGATCTTATTGCGGCTCACTGTGCTATATCCTCTGATAATGTTTTCTTCTCTTTTGGTTTTTTTGTGTGGTTTTTGAGCAAGAGGTTTATTACCCGGTTTATGGTAGAGTGTAGGTACAAGTCATTTTGTGTGTATTTTTGATTATCCATCTAATAAACATAACAAAAAATACCCTGTATGCTATGCTATATCCCACAATCGTTTGAAACGTGGGCCCGATTTCCTAAAGTAACTTCTCGGGAGATAAATAAATAAAGACTCATAATAAACCTAGATACGGCCAATGTTTGAGCTAAATATAATAGTTATCGTAATGACTCTCAAAATATTCGATGTATCAAGTAATATTTGCAAGAGACTGGACAGCACCACTTTCTGATAAACTTTCGATCTGTGATCTCCAACCCGTCTACCGTGCCTGGAAAATATTTAGCAAACCTTTTTATGTAGAGGAGGCCTATAGGTAGCCTTTTTAAGGGGGGAAAATCACCAAATGACTTCTCCCGCCTGAGTGAGGCGGGAAGGAGTATCAGACTCTTATTGACTAAAAACCACCCCGGTTCTACTCCTGCACTTCGAGCCGGAGCTCCAGTGACGTTTAACGTTTTACACAGCTCCGTATCAGCAACAGACCCATAGTCTAGCAATGAACAGTTACGGGCCCTTGATGTTGATGGGTTACGTTGATATTAAACTGTCAAACACCAAGCGGTCACCGGTGACCGCAACCTATTGTTCTTTAATTGTGTCTATAAATACGGTACTCGACGAGTTAAACCATTATTTTGTTCTTCTTTACAGATCAACCAAATGAAAGCTGCAGGCCAACCCAAAGCGGCCTAAAAGACTGATTCGCGTACAGTGAACTATTTAACTTATTTACTCCATATTTTAGAGTATATAATTCTATTCTGCCTTTTAAATCGAAGCAAATCTGTATTACATTTTTTTCTAAAACAACGTTATGCCTGTAATGAAATCCTGCGATTTATTTAATAAATCTATTTCATAAAAAATATGTTTAGATATTTTATTTACTTAACAATGTGTTTGCAGACGAGATAATGAGCTATGTATTAAGGTATGTACAAGCTATATTGAACCAATAGGATCAAAATGATGAAAACTTGTACTTCTTTTCGATTATTTTGCTTCAGTTCACCTTATATTCAAGGAACAACTTTGTCAGGTGGCTAAACTTAATCTTACACTATTTCTTATACTTTATATTATATAAAGTTATAAAAGTCATATTATGTCTGTTTGCTTGCTTGCGTGTTTAAACGCGCGTATCTCTAACTAATAGTCCGATTTGAAAAATTCTTTTTCTATTGGGTAGACCATTTATCAAGGAAGGCTATAGGCTATAAAACATCACGCTATGATCAATAGGCGCCGTGCAGAGCGGGTGAGACCGCGCAACAGTGGTTAGTTTTAATATAAGTTCAACACTTACCGTTTTATAACATTCGTACATACTAACTATCATTACTATTTATCAGTGTAGTTAAAAGCCTACAAGAAATGTACTCAGATAACCACATGTTGACCCGTTATCACATTCTGATAGCAAGGTCTTTACAAGTTTAAGGTCAATGCAGATAAGACTAGTGTCTAAATGAAATAATTTGTTATAAAATTATAAAAAAATAGATTTTTAATATAGGCTGAAACGATGGGTATAAAATATAAATTTTTAGCAATTTATAAAACAGTAGCTACTTTCACGTAGTTTCATTCTCTTTGCTTGGCTCTTAGCGTGATGTCATAACATAACATCACGCCTTTTATCCCCGAAGGCGTAGGCAGAGGTGGATATTATGGCACTTCATGCCAACGCAACACCCACTTTTCACTATTTATGTTATGAGTCCCATGTAATAAGGGGTGAGCCTATTGCCATATACCGGGCACGATTCCGGACTCCGTGCTACCACCAAAATGTTTTTTAAAAGACCCGTAATAATTTGCCCGACCCGGGAATCGAACCCGAAACCCCGGCAACCGCACTTGTGACCACTCGACCAACGAGACAGTCGCAATGTTTTATCGATAAATCCAATAATCAAACCGGACCAGCAGTTCTGAAGATTGGCGCGTTCAAACAATCAAACTCTACAGATTATTATGTTGATTTCAACCAGAATGTTACCTCTATATATTTCATCTTATGTATACTGTATACATATACAGAAGCGCATTCGTATTGCTGTCGAGTTCCATCACTTAGCATATAAAGAGCCACTTTCAGGATTCCTTTATAAAGGGAGCGATCTGGAAAATTTTAAATTTTCTGAGAAATTTTTAAAATCTTTTTGTAAAAAGCTCCTCTTGGTGCGGTTAGAGGATGAAGTGAGAATTTTTTATGTATTTTTAATGGATAGGGTGTTCAAAATCTTATATTCGACACTGTTATATTACAAAGTGTCAATTGTAATTCTCATGGTGTCGTTAACAATTTTATGGCTGATTTATTTTTGTTTATTTTGTGCCATTGAATACTAGAATACAATAGTTACATTTTTATATTGGACTACTTAGCTGTTGCCCGCGACTTCGTAAACGAAGAATTGTTTTTGGATTTCATTTTAAAACATAACTTTTTTTGGTACATGTATCGTATGTATTCTTCATATGCATGTAGTGAAAAGCGGTTAATTTAATATTACAAACAGATACTCCAACTTTATTTATCTGTATAGATGCATTGAATGGTGTATGATAATTAGGTAAAAGTGCACATTTTTTAGCTAATACTTCATTCGTTTCATTATATTACCGAGCGAGGCGATTATAAAAATATATTTTTCTAATCAAAGCATGTTTTCACATTTTCAGCTTTCGGTAATTATAGAATTTTTGTAAGACGCTCGTTCGGGTCACCTCAATCAAAGAATCACATGTACATACATCATTATATATATAATTCTTCTATGAGTGTATATGTCACTGAACTTCTCGCAAACGACTGGACCGATTTTGATAAAAATTTTTGTGTGTGTTCAAGGGGATCTGGGAATGGTTTAGATTTACAAATCAGCCCGGCAGATGGCGCTGCAGTCGATGTTTAGGTTATTTATCCTAAACAGCTGAACTAATTTGAATGAATTTTTGTTTATACATTCAAGTGGATATGCAGGATAACGTCTATTGGGTCCCCTAGTATATTATAAAACAGTACAAATACGTATCTCGTCCAAAGTAAAAATAATTCCCTAGCTACATTCGTCGCGGTTCTTTTCAAACTAATAGAATATTCTCTCTGGCTCAAGTTACGGGTTCTGCAGGTGGTTTTAATATGCATGGAGCCCAGCTGCCGATAAGCCGTCCTTACAAAGCCTGACCTGATCCTATTTGAGCGTCTTGGGCCGTCTACCCAAAGGATTTTCTCAGATTTACACCAGATTTTCCCTTCGGAATATAGTGGTTGCATATTTTTATATTGCTCGCTCGCAAGTCAATTTTATTCTATTTCAATTGAATATATCGAGTTATGAGATCATAATACGTTTGGTAAACATATTATTTGACTGTCTTGTTGCCTAAGTACCTAAAAGTTGTTTGAAAAGTCTCTATTTAAAATGACCTGTGTTATTGAAATGTATGTATTTCAATGGTAACAAGATAAACCTCTTTTTGTTGTAAGCAATAATTTTGTAGGTATTAGATAGGTTACATTTTTTTAAAAGGTATGATAGGGTTGGCATATCCAAGATAAAAACCCCTTATTAAAAAACATAATAAAAAAATAAACCTCCTTTACAAAAAAGCGATATTGTTTGACGGTCAAATTCTTAAGGATTGCAGTTTCTAAACTAATCCTAAGCATTAAGAGATTGCTGTTATCTTCCTATTGGCTCCTCCTTAGTGGCGAGTCGCTATTATAGGCCATAGACGCACCATGTCACTTTAAAATATCCATCAGATATGTGAGTTTGTAATGTCGTACAAAAAATATCTTCGTGTCATACGCCTCAACTTATTCGCTAGAAAGTTACGTTCCCTCCCAAGCCCACATAATTCAAGAAGAGCCATCATGTCGTATCCATAGGACTTTCGATCATTGTCAGAGTAGCTCGCAGAAATCTCACGACAGAGACATATAACACGAACACAGGTGCGGAAACTCCTCAACAAACATTTGTCTAAGTTGACTCGAGACCAACAAACTTTACAGTTCCCTAACACAATAATGCACCATATGTCAAAGTAATAAGACATGAATTCTGTTTATTGAACGCAGAGTTAACTTTGTGGAACAGTGGCATGGTCGAAGAAATATGTCATTTGGAGATAAATTGACTTTACTTATTAGAAAGAAATGAGATAGAATTGAAGGACTTAATGATTAGCAAATAGAGTTTAAATTAAGTTTGCTTGAAAATATGTAAGTCGTAATGTAATTACTTGACGATGTATTTACATAAATTAATTAATTTATTTTGTTGTTGTTTATGAAATATTGTTAGTTTAGTTTAGAGCCTATTAAAATTATTTATTAGCATTATTTGCTAATAATACTAATTAGTAATTTACATCTAATAATGTTATAATATATCAGAATAATAAATCACCATTATCATTGTGAATGTTTCATTATGAGTTAAGACAACATTGGCAAACAAGCTAATTGTTTGAATATTAGAAGTTTCATTTACTTTAAAACATCACTTAAAGAAACAAACAAAGAACACAAATAGACAATGTGAAATCAACTTCTATACTAACTGCCGTATTTAGAGTCATTTTTTTTCGGACATTGTTTTCGGACAAAAGTCATTACTAAGGAACAGTTTAAGTAATCATTAAATTATGTTTATGAGTTAAGGTAGTTAGTGTCTGAGTTGTCGCAAGTGTGACTGTTGGGCAAAGAGTCTCGGGTTCGATCCCCGGGTCGGGTAAAGAATTATTGGGTTTTTAATAAAAATCTCAGTAGTAGCACGGAGTCTGGAATTCTCACCTAATAGGAATCATAACATAAATAGTGAAAAAGCCGTAATGTGCACCTCTGCCTTGATTGGGCATGATTTTGTGTTATGTATAAGGCATACTGATTTTTTAAGCAAAATTTAGGTAAGTACTCAAAACTTGTATTCAATACTTATGCAGTTACCATACAACACAGTCAAAAAAAAACAAATAACTCCTGAGCCTAAAAGAAAATATTTATCAAGAAACGCCAACAAATATTTGTTTAGGATGTTGTATATTTGTGCACTTTGATAGCCACAGCATACTAAGGAATAGGGGTTATCACAAGACCACAGGAAAATATCTGAGCATCAAGCCTTACTATGTTAGACAGTGGACTTCCCATGGCTGATATGATGATGATGATAAAACCTCACTATATACATATATCTTTTGAAAAATAAAGGTGGTAGTACAGTATGTTTAACATGAGATCATCAACAGCCTATAAATACACACTGCTGAGCAAAGCTTCTTCTCAGACGGAGAAGGTTTGAGCATTAATTACCACGCTTGCTCAATGCGGGTTGGCGATTACAAACTCATAATTAGAAATTATAAGCCCAGGTTTCCTCACGATGTTTCCCTTCACCATTTGTCAGTGGTCTCTAGATAATCTTAGAAAGTATATATAACTATGAAAAAGTCACATTGGTACTTGCCGTTGGTAGGTTTCGAACCCGCACCCTCATGCATGAGAAGCGGGCGTCTTAAACCACGCCACGACTGTAACAGTGAGATGAGACCTTCTTTTTGACAACATATTACGATACCCATATTACTTAAGCAGGCCAGGCAAGTCTATTGCTGTAGATTAAGTACAATTAATTTCAGAATTAGATCTAGGTATTACAAAAATCTACTGAACCAATGTTTATCTTGACCATCGCATTACCTGAACCACTTAAATATACTGAGAAAAGCTCTTCTAGTTTCGGGTCATAGTGGGACTCTTCCTCATGAGCAGCGTGCGCGATGTCGCCGCTTCCATTGACAGAAGTATATCTAAGTAAATATATCTAATTTTTCTTAATGGGGGAAGATGATCGAATGTCTGCTCTTGCCTGGATGAGGAAAGAGTGTCAGACTCTTAT